AGAAAATCAACTCTCAAATTCGATAAAGCAACTCGATTAAAGCACAATAAATTTGCTCTGGAATTTAGCTATCAACAGTTTCAAATCGCCAAAGCTGAAATCATAGATGCGATAAACCTGAGCTATACATGCAAGTTGGTCCCTATATCTATCAATCTCACCCACAAAAACCCTTCACAGAACAAGAAAGCACAAACAAGAAAATTCACAAATTTCTTCTTTTTTTACAAGTATTAACTGAAAACCTATAAGGCCAAATTTCTGCACATTCAAGACTCAAATTAAATTCTCAGCTCATAAAAACTCACTTAATCAGCATGTTTTCGAGTTATCTTGAATTAGTAAGATAAACCTGAGATTGAACAACTGTCTTGTTGACTTTGAATCCCGGTACAACCGTAAATCCAACTATCGGCTTACTCTTCCCCACAAAAACAACTTTTTTCCCCAAAACATTCTCCATGTACACCATCGAGAATTCCACTCCCCTCTCGACCTGGAAAATTTCAATCACGGGATTAAATGAGTAGGCCAGCTTATGAAGCAGCCAAATCGAGCTCGCCATCCTAACAAACAACTCGTGAAAAACAGACAACGATTTCCAAGAATCGAGCACTTTCTTCTCCTTCCTGTCCAGATGTCTGAAAATCGAGCACTCCATTGTCGGGTGAACAAGCTCTTCATACTTCCTCTCGCAAAATCTAGCGAACCCGCATTTTGTGTTCATGCTCAGAATCTCCATGGGATTGTTCGTGACATGTTCGATTAATTGCCTCATAGAACCATTTCGCTCATCAACAATTTCACCATTCTCATTGCAAATCAGTTCATCATTGCATAAGCCGAAATCATTCTTGTCGAAATCATGAAACATTCCCAGACAAACATATGATAAAAATGCATACCGATAATGGCTCTTTTTCAAATAATCGACCCCAGAATAAACAGAGTTTGCAGCTTTCTCCAAATCCCAGCCAGCCCTCTGCATCAGGTTCATCAACAGCTTCACAAAACACCGTACCGCTTTCACGGAGTCAGCAAGTATGGCCTCAAACACTCGAATTGTAAGCAGAACATCAAAACCGGCATTTCCCCTTTTCACCCCCAATTTTCGTGATAAATGGACATTGCAAACCCTAATTTTATCCAATTTCTTCCTCAAACCACTCGCCTCGTCGTCCTTGGCGTCCATTTGCGACTGCAACGAGTTCACCATCGTCTCCAGGACCCTAAGCTTGCTCTGATTCTCCTGCACTCGAAATTCCAGAAATGACCCCGCTGGAAACTCGAAACCACCGCCCGAGACAGATCCCTTCTTCGAGTCCCTGTACAAGCTCTTCATCTCGGCCAATTTCTCGAGAATCGAGACTATCAACTTGTCCGCTGCTTCGAGGGCATTCTGGTCAATCTCCGGCACGTGCGCCGCCTGGAACTGGAGATACGAAACTTCGAAGGAGGAGACGGTGGCGAGGAGCGAAGGAATGAGAGCACGAATCAACTCGCCCGACGAATCATCTTTGTTTTTCACCGGGTCCGGTTTGATGACGACGACCTTCTGGTCGGGGATGAACTCCTCGGCCGAGTCGAGGAGGAGGGAGACGTCGCCGTCGCACTCTGCGGAGGGGACGGCGGAGTAGTCCTCGGAGAAGAGCTCGTACGTCTTTGCCTTGAAGGCGAGGGCGAATTTCTGCAGCATATCTGAGATCGGCGGTGGCGGCGGCGGGGGCGGCGGTTTGGACGATGGGCCGCCGTCCATTTCGACCATCTCGCGAAACCTATACATAGGGAGCACGCAAAAATTGATCTTTGGCGGATTTGTAAAGTTGGGCTGATTCTTTGCTTGCGAATTGTGATGGGATCGGCGGTGGATTTTCGCAGGCGCAGGTTGCTTTTGAATTACTTTGAAGGAATGTGAGTGCTTCTCTTTCTGTGTGTAGTTCAGTGTGAATTGGCTTTTAGACCCTTTTTTTTTATGCTGTTTTTGTACTAATAATCTCAAGCAAATGCATTGATTTGTATTTCACAGACTGTCTATGTTTAATTAATTAATTTTGCCCTAATTTTTTTGTATGAGTCTTACTACAAAATCAATAATAGCTAAATTAGAGGGTTTTTTTTTTTTTTTTTTTTTTTTNTTTTTTTTTTTTTTTCCAGCTAAATTAGAGGGTTGAGTGAACTAGTGTAATTCAATTATTTGGTAAATAATAGTTTGAAATAGCATTTTGATTAAAAGAAATATATATATATATATGAGTTTTTTTTGTGAATAGTTGCAAAAATAATTAAGGGTTTCACCATAAAAATATCTAATTATCAATTTGAAATAGTTTTTTTAGGTTTTTACATCTCAAATTGTGATATTTTTGAGATATAGAAGATAAAATTAATTGCTTTTATATATTAAATAAATGGTTAATTATTTATCAAATACTTTACTTAATTAGCTAATCAAATCAACTAATCAAAAGTACTAATTTACTCAGTTATCGTTTTGCATACTAATTTATTAAGTTATTGCTTTGTATAATCAATTAAGTAAATGTGCAGAAAAAAGCTGTGGTAGGCTCAAAGGACTTTTTAGGCTTAAAAAATGTATAATATGTATATTTTTTTTTTATTTTTTAATTTGGTCAACCAATTAACTTTCCACATTTTTTGTAACACAATCTTATTTAATGAAATCTTAGGATAAGACCTTATTTTCTTCTTCTTCTTCTTATTCTTTTTTTTTTTTTTCATTTATGTAATATAATAGGGAGATGCTACAGTTTCGAAACTATTCAGTCGGATTTGTAACCGTTAGATCATCATGTAACTGTTAGACATAGTTGATCTAACAGCTACAAACCCCGACGGAATGGTTCCGTAACGGTAACGTAGCATTTCCATATAGTTATAACTTAGAACTTATATAAGTATTCAAAACACTGCCTGAAAAATCACAAAAATAAAATAAAATAATAATAATAATAATAATAATAATAATAATAATAATTTTAAATTTTTTGGAGCATATCAAAAGTGAGATTGCTGACCTAATTGTTATAATCTTGCTCCTGAATATTATAAATAAATTAATGATGAGCTGCTTTAATTTTTGTTGTATGCATGCGGACCACTGACCATAAAAATACCATTTTCTGTTAGTTGTCTGTACTGTTTTTTTTCTCTTTCGTTTGTTGGGAGTGTGGTGGTGGTCCAATTATGAAATCATTATTATTGAAATTAATTGTCAGTAATATTTTTGTTACTAATGATTAAATAAATTCATTTTTGGGTATGGAAAATGACAATTCATTGAGCCCAATAGTTGAAAGCATTTGGGTTAATCTGTGGTGTACAATTGAGGCCCAATAGAATTTGTTCATCGGGGTTATGCAATAATATTATTTAATTTTAAAACTATTATTTAATTTAAATAATTTTATTTAATTTAAAATAATTTATTTCATTTAAGATAATATTATTTAATTTAAATAATGTTATTTAATTCAAAATAAAATAATATTATTCTATTTAAAATAATTATTTTATAAAAAAATTATTAATTTATTTTTTTAATAATATTAGTAGATTATTTTATTTTTATTATAAAAAATTTAAAAATTGTAATTTATTTTTAGGGGCGAAAATAGAGGGAAAAATATGATATTATGTGTGTAGGAGATAAGGGTATATTTGTCTTTTATTTCTCTTATTATTTTGTCCAGGTTAGTAAATGCTTGATTATTTTTACCTTAAAATACATCAGGTTTTGTAAATATTTGATAAATGACTGACGTGTAAAGTGAGTAGGATGAATGATGTAGGGAAGTGTACGAGTAGAAAAGATAAAATGATACCTGTGCTACATGAGTGAATATGTGCAATCCCATTCCATGAAGTAAAAGGAGTGAATGATCATTAATTAAAAAATGTGCACTATTTATTAATGATATTCTGGCTAAATTCTAAAAGCAAAAGTAAAAAACATGGGTATAGGACCCCATAAAATTAATACTGCACATTTTTTTAATTAATTTATTTCTCATATAATCTATTCGGTTGATATATTTTCATATCCTCATCTTCGTCATACCCTAAGTTTCAAAATCACGAATATCAAATCATATCTATCAAAATAATTAATGATCATTGATTAAAAAAAAAAGGTCATTTTTATCTTGTTTATTGTATTTTTTCAGAGGAGAACAGATAATAAATTACATCTTAAAAGACATCATACATGTATTACATTTAGCCCAAATGGCAAATACTCATAGCCATAATGTTCAGAATTGGCCATGATCATAAATAAACCATTCATGAATTTGTAAACAAAACCAACAATGAAGTTATATATGGAATTTTCAAATTTATTATATAGCTGAGAAGCCAGTCTTATTTCTTAGACAACAAAATTGGAGCTTTTTATGTAGGAAGTTGACAAATTGAAAGCCCACAACAACCAACATAGTTTTTACTCAAGTAGTAAGCAGGTTGATGTCGCTTAAGCAAGATCTCGGGTTCGAGTCATTGTAGATACAAAAAACCCTTGTTGGGAGACTCATCCACCACTGATAGGTGTGCGATCCAAGTCAACCAACGAATTAGTCGGGGCATAGCTCCGAATACCGTAGTTGACTACAAAAAAAA